GGGGGGGGGGGGGGGGGGGGGGGTGAAACAAAGAGAATCAAACTCAAATCCCAGACTTGTTTTGTCCTGACCCACCCCGTTCTGCTCTCTATGTGAATGAATCAAAAACACTGCCAGATGGGTTGGTTTTTGTGGGTGAGTATGACAGAGAGAGATAGAGGGGAACGGAGCCACAACGCCTTCACATGGTGGACAGCGAGGCACAGAGTACGCTCTTAACAAAACGGGTACACGTCCATCTTCCCTTCCTCAGTATTTGGACACCTATCCTCTTCACCAGCAATGCAGCTCTCTCTCTCTCTCTCTCTCTCTCTAAATATTATTCTCATAATTAAACAACTTAGAAATTAATCACATTGCTTTTTGAATAGAAAAAAACTGAAGTAATTATAACTCTAAAAAAAATTTGAGAATTCAACCCGAGTCCTGACTTGTGCACAATACACATATATTATTTATATATAATTATTTTTTAGTTTAAAAAAATAATTCAAGAAAAAAAAAACAGTACCAAACTGCCCAAACGTCCGAGTAGGTATTCTTGAATGGAGAAGCTCATATGGAGTGCTTNCTCTAAAAAAAATTTGAGAATTCAACCCGAGTCCTGACTTGTGCACAATACACATATCTTCTACATATATTATTTATATATAATTATTTTTTAGTTTAAAAAAATAATTCAAGAAAAAAAAGACAGTACCAAACTGCCCAAATGTCCGAGTAGGTATTCTTGAATGGAGAAGCTCATGTGGAGTGCTGAAGACACCAGGTTTTGTCTTCTAATTAGTCTGTCCTTATGGTCTACTGAGGAAATCAGGCACTGGCTTCATGAAACTGTACTGCTGTGAACAGTTGTATTACAGACGAGGGTAAATTGTAAGTAGGTACACTAAATTAGATTTATTTGGTAAAAAATATACTCTAAAAAATGTAGGACTATTAAGTATTTAATTTTGATACTTATTTGTATTCAAGTATGATGGGTTAAGCCTNCCTTATGGTCTACTGAGGAAATCAGGCACTGGCTTCATGAAACTGTACTGCTGTGAAGAGTTGTATTACAGACGAGGGTAAATTGTAAGTAAGTACACTAAATTAGATTTATTTGGTAAAAAATATACGCTAAAAAATGTAGGACTATTAAGTATTTAATTTTGATACTTATTTGTATCCAAGTACATAATTTGAATTTATTTATTTTTATTGTAATATTTTTGTCTTCTATTAATCTATGTGTATTTAATGCACCATTTTTCTTTAGAAAGTAATGCATTAAACATCTCATAATTTTATGAGAGAACTTTACTCTATATATATATACTTATTGNTCCACCAAGAATAATCTCTTAGCTGCGATAAAGAAGCCTTGAGGATATGTCATGATCTCCACAAGAATGATCTCTTAGCTGCTATAAAATAGCCTCCAAGCTGGTAGAAAGAGGGNTGTTAAATCTCTTATCTAAATTTTGAATTATCTTTTAATGCATCTTGATTCATATATATATTTTTTATTATAAAGTGATTTTATTTTCAAATTAATTTAATATTCAAATAGTGTAATAGTGTAACAATAATAAAGTGTAACACTAACAATGTAACAGTATAACAATAATAGTGTAACAATCTATTTACACAAAATATTGTACTATTACATTTTATCAAACATATAATTTCATTCAAAATAGTTCATCTTCGTTTTGAATTTGTTATTATATACACAAAACTACTGAACATTGTTTTTANCATTTATTATCTACACTTGACAGGTGGTGTGCAAAACCATTTTTGTGCATCATCAAAGTACATAATTTGAATTTATCTATTTTTATTGTAATATTTTTGCCTTCTATTAATTTATGTGTATTTAATGCACCATTTTTCTTTAGAAAGTAGTGCATTAAACATCTCATAGTTTTATGAGAGAACTTTAATACATATATACATGAATACAAATTNTATATATATATATATATATATATATATATATATATATACTTATTGTTAAATCTCTTATCTAAATTTTGAATTATCTTTTAATGCATCTTGATTCATATATTTTTTTTTATTATAAAGTGATTTTATTTTCAAATTAATTTAATATTCGNACTTACAAAAAGCACATCTTTTAAAAAAAAAGAACAAATTATAGTTTACTCCGTTATGTTTTTGATAATTACTAGTGGCTCCCCCAATATCACAACTATAATTGTGAGTCCACTATAATTTCGTTTTGTAGAGATTTCTCATAATTGAAAAGAGGGAAACTCTTCGGTATCGNCAATCTATTTACACAAAATATTGTACTATTACATTTTATCAAACATATAATTTCATTCAAAATAATTCATCTCCGTTTTGAATTTGTTATTATATATACAAAACTACTGAACACTGTTTTTATTACAGTGTATTTGTTACACTGTTATTANAAATCGGTACGATACTACTAGTTACAATTTTTTATGATGAAAATACACATTTAGGCGAAGAAATTACAATTGTCCAAGAAAAGTTCATGATCGAGTTGTAACTTCTCTTTTATAAATTATAATTTGACCTTTAAAAATTATAATTTTGATATCGATTCCAACCACTCATATGATCAATCGTGCTCTTTAAAATTTGTAAGATNCCTCATTTTTACAAACAAATTTTGACTCAATTCTCCTAATTAAATATGATAAGAGAACAATAGAGAAGTACAAAGATTTTGACGATTCATAACAAAGTATTTAGATAAAGTTTTCTAGGTAAGTTCACTTACATTAGTAGTAGATAAACACCAGATTGACAAAGTTTTTGTAATTGCTTTGTGATAAATACCAAAAATCAGTTAAGTCTAAGCTCGGACCAAAAGTAGATCGAGAACTTGCCCCCATTAAGGACCCCACATGTCGACGCCAGATTCGGGCATTCTGACTCAGACATCTCAACTCAATTTGGATCCTCGAGTTCAAATCTCAACTCAAGTCTCTCAAGTCGATAAACATTGTTGACCTAGTCACATGCACACTGCAATAGCAACAACTTACACTTTTTGGAAGGTCACGTCTCATCCTGAGAATATAGCTTCTATTAGCAAAAGATCCCATCTTATGGGTCACAGGGGGTTATGTTGATGACGCATAGATCACGACCGTTACACAAGGCTTAAGACGATTAGGTGAAAATCATGTTGATAACGCCTAGTTCCTATGGGCTATAAATAGGGTTCAATCCAATGTTTTGTAGAGAGATCATTAGAGTTTATTTTCTGCAAAAACTTTTGTAATCTTCTTCCCCAAAACAATAATACTCTCCCAGGAGCAAAAGATTTTGTGAGAGTGGACTAACCAAACTTCCAAGCTAATAAACCACTATAAATCAACTATCTATCAATTCCTACCGATTTTAATTGTCTCTAATTGACTGTTTACCACTACGAGCCTAGTAGTTCTAACTGGATGTCCCAGTGAATCTCTTTCTAAATCTCGAGCTCAGCCACTCAATTGTGCGATCCACATCATCACTTTATTTTCTTTTCTTTTTTTTTTCTCCCAACTTTTTTGTTTGAAATTTCTTCATTTGTCCCTATTTTTTTGCATACCAATCTCACTAAATCCCTAGACTTTGACATTCATAATGGGGTACATAAATAAAATTTTCTAGGCAAACTCTCCTATATTAATAGAATATAAGCACCAGATTGACGGAGCAGTTGTCATAGCTTTGATTTTCTCTTCTTTATTTTTTTTTTTATATTAGCAAGTTCAAGGCCGTTCGAAATTTTTTCATTTGTCCCAAAATTTTTCCATACCATTCTCCTTATNTTGTGATAAATACCAAAAATCAGTTAAGTCTAAGCTCGGACCAAAAGTAGATCGAGAACTTGCCCCCATTAAGGACCCCACATGTCGACGCCAGATTCGGGCATTCTGACTCAGACATCTCAACTCAATTTGGATCCTCGAGTTCAAATCTCAACTCAAGTCTCTCAAGTCGATAAACATTGTTGACCTAGTCACATGCACACTGCAATAGCAACAACTTACACTTTTTGGAAGGTCACGTCTCATCCTGAGAATATAGCTTCTATTAGCAAAAGATCCCATCTTATGGGTCACAGGGGGTTATGTTGATGACGCATAGATCACGACCGTTACACAAGGCTTAAGACGATTAGGTGAAAATCATGTTGATAACGCCTAGTTCCTATGGGCTATAAATAGGGTTCAATCCAATGTTTTGTAGAGAGATCATTAGAGTTTATTTTCTGCAAAAACCTTTGTAATCTTCTTCCCCAAAACAATAATACTCTCCCAGGAGCAAAAGATTCTGTGATAGTGGATTAACCAAACTTCCAATCTAATGAATCACTATAAATCAACTATTTATCAATTCCTACCGATTTTAATTGTCTCTAATTGACTGTTTACCACTACGAGCCTAGTAGTTCTAACTGGATGTCCCAGTGAATCTCTTTCTAAATCTCGAGCTCAGCCACTCAATTGTGCGATCCACATCATCACTTTATTTTCTTTTCTTTTTTTTTTCTCCCAACTTTTTTGTTTGAAATTTCTTCATTTGTCCCTATTTTTTTGCATACCAATCTCACTAAATCCCTAGACTTTGACATTCATAATGAGGTACATAAATAAAATTTTCTAGGCAAACTCTCCTATATTAATAGAATATAAGCACCAGATTGACGGAGCAGTTGTCATAGCTTTGATTTTCTCTTCTTTATTTTTTTTTTTATATTAGCAAGTTCAAGGCCGTTCGAAATTTTTTCATTTGTCCCAAAATTTTTCCATACCATTCTCCTTATATCCCTAGACTGACATTCATAATGGGGTCCATAGATAAAATTTTCTAGGCAAAGTCTCCTATATTAGTAGTTTATAAACACTAGATTGACGGAGCTGTTAACATAGCTTT